CAGTCATTCAAATGTGCCCCTTCCTTTCTCTGAATTTGTTCTCCTCCTGCCCCACTTTGGATGCGCCTGGCCTGGGCTGCACCCGGCCCTCGGCCTCCCTCCACCTCCGCAGGGGGAGCTGCAGCTGCTGTGCATGCAGTTGGACCGCCACATCAGCACGCAGATCCGGGAGAGCCCCCAGGCCATGCACCACACCATGCTCAAGGACCTGGCTACCCAGACCTACATCCGTTGGCAGGAGCTGCTGACCCACTGCCAGCCCCAGGTGGTGTCCCCTCCAGCCCTCAGACCTGGGAGGGGCGGGAAGCGGTCAGGCAGGGCTGGCCAGAGCCAGCAGTGAATCCACCCACTGCAGCTGCTGAACTCCTGGCAGGGACATAGATGGAGTGGGCATGTGGGGGAAGGGTGGGAGCACCTTGGGGGGTATTCATCATTCTTATAAAGAATCCAGTGCCAAAGGCCAGGCACGTTGCTCTCGCCTGTAATCCCAGCACTTTGGGAGGCCGAGGAGGGCAGATCACAAGGTCAGGAGTTCTAGACCAGCCTGGCCAACATGGTGAAACCCTGTCTGCTAAAGATACAAAAAATTAGCTGGGCATGGTGGCATGTACCTGTAATCCCAGCTACTCGGGAGGCTGAGGCAGGAGAATCCCTTGAACCTGGGAGGTGGAGGTTGCAGTGAGCTGAAATCACTCCAACCTGGGCAACAGCGTGAGACTGTCTCAAAAAAAAAAAAAAAAAAAAAAAATCCAGTGCCCAGGGTGGGTGTGGAGGGAAGGGGACGCAAAGAAGTGTAGTCTTCAGGAAATGCAAAGAAAAGTTGCCCTGGAGAGGGAAGAGTCTGGACCCAGAGTGCCATTCTGTTATGGGCAGTGCCAGAAAGGGGCCCCAGATGTCCACCTTCTGCCCACCTTCTGCCCACCAGGCCTGAGGCTGGCCTCCTACTGTGTTAGGAGGAAGGCTCGCAGGCTGCCATGGTCCTCTCCACTGTACCCCCACACCCCCACCGAGTTTCCTCAGAGCCTCTAGATGTGATATTTACAGCTAGTATTTATTTCTTTTTTGTTGGGGAGACGGAGTCTCACCCTGTTACCAGGCTGGAGTGCGGTGGCGCGACTACAGGCGTGCGTCACCACACACAGCTGATTTTTGTATTTTTAGTAGAGATGGGGTTTTACCATGTTGGCCAGGATGATCTCGATCTCTTGACCTCGTGATCTGCCCACCTCAGCCTCCCAAAGTGCTGGGATTACAGGTGTCAGCCACCGTGCCTGGCCCACAGCATTTCTTGAATGAAGATCTATTTCTATAAGAACCCACACAACCCCCGTAAGCCAGGTGTTGTCAGGAGCCCATTTTACAGATAAGCAGGTTCTGAGAGGCTCAGTGGCATGCCCCTTCTTGCAGGCAGCTTGTGTGAATGTCAGAATCAGGGCATAAGCCAGCCTGACTCCCAAGCCTCTGACCTAACCAGCTCCAGCCCCTGTGCTGGTGCCCTCCCTTCTGGCGCTTTCTCTCCAACAAGCAGCTGGGCCAGCTTAGGGTCTCCTCCCTTCCTGAGCCCCCAGCCCTCCATGGAGGAGCACAGGACTTGGTGAGGACCACCACCCACCCCACCACCAGTGCCCCTCCGCTTCTAACCTGCCTCTCCTCAGACTCCTCTCTCGTCCTTCCCCTATAACCTCTGACTTAGGGCTGACACATTGGCCACAGGCTGTGGTTTGGGTCTCATATTTCACCAAGTCTCTGAGAAAGCTGAGGAGCGAACCTCACCCTCACTCCCCAACGAACTAGATCTCACCAGCCTCTGGTGGGAGTAGTGGGCTTGTCATGAGAAGAGGGAAAAGTGATTCGGAGCCTGGTAGAGGGGCCCTGGCAGACCACTTATACGGTCACATAGCCTGTTGACCGCTGTGTCCCTGCCAGGACTATGAACCCAGCATCCTGCTCACTTGGCACCTGGCATGAGCCTGTGATGAGTGCTGAGTAGACACCGCCAGTCCAGGGAGCTGCAGGGCAGTGGGCAGCACCTGGGCCCAGGCCCTCACAGCCTGCTTCCCTCCTTGCCGCAGGCCCAGTACTGCAACCCCTGGAAAGACATCTGAAGGAGCAGGGTCCGGACAGCCCAGGGCTCCTGGCTCCAGCAGGAAGTGAATAGACTCAAGGAACTGGAGGAAGCGAAGAATCAAGGCCAGAGGAGGCCACATGCTGACCAGCCTGATGAAGCAAGAGCCGGCCACCGCCCCTGACCTGCGCTCCTCTTGGCAAGGGATGGGCCTCTCTGCCTGGCCCACCCCTCAGGCCTCCTTCCTCCTAGCCATCTCCTCTTCCCTAAGGCCTGTCTCCATAGCTCTGGTTTCCCTGGGCCTCAGTCCTCCCCACCCTTCTTCCTCTCTCTCCCTGTCACTAATGTGAGGTTTCTTTGTGCACATTAAAGTCTTCTTTCAGCATCAGTGGTTTAGAAGACTTCCTTCAGTCCCTGTCCCGAGGGCTTGTGCCAACGTCCAGTCTCCTGATGCCTCTGCCTGTGTCTGCTGGGTTCTCAGCTAGACAGTTACAGCACTGAGGCCCAGGCCCCGCCTGCAGCAGAGGGCTATCTGCAAGTCCCCAGGGAGGGGCATTGCTCCCTGCAGCCCACTTCGGCCCAAGAGCTGTCAGAAACCCAGGAACTGGACGTTTGTTTGGACCCAGTCTGGGACCGCTCCCCATTCCCCGCCCCTGCTGAGGAGGACGCAGGGAGTGAGATGTGGATCAGGGCTGTAATTACACTTAATTCCATTTAGTGCTGAGCTCTGAAATCAACTCCCCAGCCTCAGCAGTGGGGGCGGTTCAGAAGACACTTTGAGATGCTGTTTTTGCTTTTCCTCTGGTCTGCCGCAGATGAGTTCATGGGACCTGATCCCTAATGGGGTGCTGGGTATCTTTGACCTGAACCCCTTGAGAAGTGAGTGATCTCTTTGGACTCCAGGATACCACTGGGTATCTACTTTGCCCAATCCTCCAACCCTGAGAATCCACAGTTAGTCCCTGGCCCCTCCTGACTCTTCCTGGGTGTGGATGGGGTTTTGCAGGGTACACAAGAGGTAGCTAGGCAGTGGCAGAGGATTGCCCTTGCCACTGGACTGTGCCCACTCCTCAACTCAACCCTGGCTGTCTGCCAGAGTGACTTCCCCATGGCGGCTGCATACAACTCTGCTTTCATATATCCGTCTCTTTGGCTTTCATGTACGGGGATGGGGTGGCCAGGCTAACTAGGAGAGAGACTCCCCTAAAATAAAGGACTTTCAGGCCAAGTAGCTCAATGTGCAGAGCCAAAGTGGAGCTCATCACTTCCTGGGCCTGTTTCAGACAAAGCTGCCCCTCTCACTTCGTCCCCAGAATGCTAGGAGCTGGGGGCATCTTATTCAGGGGCACGGGCACATGCAGGGCACAGTGCTGGATACCACACAGGATGCCTTTCTGCCTAGCAGCCTTTGCCAAATGTGAGATGGAAGAAACTCAGCCAGGGTGCCTTCGATGCCAGGCGACATGCATGAGAGTTCTGGTTTCTGTTCCTGGCTGTGTCACGTGCCCCCTTGGCCTGGGGAACCACCAAAGCCCCAGCAGCATCAAGTCAGCCTCAGATCCTCCAATGAACGAGTAGAGACTCTGGTGAGCCAGCCTTCTTCACCTGCCCTCAGGGCTGCCTTGGGACCACACCAACACCGCAGGCATGCTTTGACAGTTCATCTGTAGCTATTCACTTTTCTCTGGAAACCTGGAAATCACCTTTGAAATTTCCCTTCTTTGTTCTTACTGCCAAGGGCAAAGAGGAAGTAGGGAGGCCAGAGAAGGTAAACCCGGGAGTTTCCAGTTTTCGAAGGTAGCCTACCTGGCTCTGAAAAGGAGCTGAGCTGTCCATCAGCATCGACAACTGGAGCCTTCCTCCCCAGTCCTGGCTGTTGTCCACTGGCCCTCCTCTCCTGCTCCCCAAACATACCCATCCCCAAGAGAGAAATAGATACCCAGGGGAGAGGAGGTGTCGGTGACGACTCAGTTCCTCCAGAGACCTGGCTGTAACCTGAGCACAGGTGTGCGCTGCAAGGTCGCCCAAGGGCGCATGCTGTCCTCTGGGGTGTGTAATGGGCCCTCTCTCGGACTAGCTGGGAGCTGACCAGATCTTCTAAAACTAGTCTGGGATCAGTTAAGAGATTCAGCCTCCCCAAGGCCAGATTTCCACAGTGGTGCTGGTAATGTGACCACTTGCTCTCCAGATCTTTGACTTTTCCAAATCCCTAAGCCCTTGGGAAAAGGCTGGGGGATATCCTGATAGGAGCCACTGGAAAATCCGCATCCGGGGCTGTGATGACGGATGTTTTCCTGCTTCCTTTTGGTACTGGTGACAGGGAGGGGCTGGGAAGGGAAAGGAGTCCCAGGTGGGCAGCTTCGATAACTCTCCTTTGAAGGAAGTAGGGAGGGAGAGTCCTTTTCCTATGTCCCCAGTCACCTCGGTCCCCAGGCGCTCAGAAAGACCCTTGAAGGGTAGCTGACCCAAGCTTTCTTACTTCCTCATCTATGAGTTGACGGCAGTCCTGGCTGCCTTGGAAACCCACCAGGCAGTGTTCACCAGAGAACCTAGTGTGCACCTCGGGCCTCCCTCCTGCTCCCTAAGGAGAGCTGGCAGGTGAGTAGCTCAAATGAAGGGCACTGTTACCCACAACCAACATCAAGAGATGGGGAAGGGGACTGGCTCTTCAGGAAAGACTCCTAGGTCATCTCTAGGGGCTGGCCTGAGCTGCTGGGGGATCCTTGGAGACTCTTGAGAGGCAGTTAGCACAATTTCTGTCTTTCCTTGATTTGACCACAAGCAGTTGTCAAGACCTGAGTCCTAAAGGGTGGATACCTTCCATAGAATATACCAGGCCCTAGGGAGACTAGCAAGGTACATGTACTTCCCCCCACCCCACTCCACCCCCGTACCTGTATTAGTAATTTTTTTCTTAATTGAAGACCCAGAAATCTTTTTTTCTACCAGTTGTACTTTCATTTAGAAGTATGAATCATGAGCAAACAGTCATGCAGGAAACTGTATCCTCTGGCCACCCACCCACAGAAAGGGCCAGTGCTGGAATGGACAGAATACAGCAGAAGGTGCACAAAGGTGGAAAAGGGGAGGGAGCTGGGAGCTTATCTCCAAGAGCATTTGGGAGGAAAGGCTAATGGACTCTGTTAGCTGGAGGCTTCTACATCCCTGGGCCTTCGGAACCCAAATGCCTGCCACTGCCCTGCCAGTGAAACCAAACCGGTTGCCTTTTCAAACTTTCCACCTTGAAGTCAGAGCCAGGGAGCTCAGGTCTCTCTACCTGGTAACCTTCACACCTAGAGGTGAGGGGATGGGGGAGGAGTATTGAAGGGGAGGAGAAACAGCAGGAAATGGACCACTGTCAGGATAGATGGTGACTTCGTGAAAGACAGAATTGGCAGTCCCAAGACCTGATTTAAAAATCTGACCTTGGCCGGGCGCGGTGGCTCAAGCCTGTAATCCCAGCACTTTGGGAGGCCGAGGCGGGTGGATCACGAGGTCAAGAGATCGAGACCATCCTGGTCAACATGGTGAAACCCTGTCTCTACTAAAAATACAAAAAATTAGCTGGGCATGGTGGCGTGTGCCTGTAATCCCAGCTACTCAGGAGGCTGAGGCAGGAGAATTGCCTGAACCCAGGAGGCGGAGGTTGCGGTGAGCCGAGATCGCGCCATTGCACTCCAGCCTGGGTAACAAGAGCGAAACTCCGTCTCAAAAAAAAAAAAAAAAAAAAAAAAAAAAATCTGACCTTTCCAGCCTGGGCAACAGAGCGAGACCCTGTCCCATGTGAGATGGCATGCACCCATAGTCTTGGGAGGCTGAGGTGGGAGAACCACTTGAGCCCAGAAGTTCCAGGTGACATTGTTTATTTCTCTTTTTTTTTTTTTTTTTGAGACTAAGTCTCACTCTGTCACCCAGGCTAGAGTGTAGTGGTGCAATCTCAGCTTACTGCAACCTCCACCTCCTGGGTTCAAGCGATTCTTCTGCCTCAGCCTCTTGAGTAGCTGGGATTACAGGCGTGCACCACCACACCCGGCTAATTTTTGTATTTTTAGTAAAGACAGGGTTTCACCATGTTGGCCAGGCTGGTCTCAAACTCCAGACCTCAGGTGATCCGCCCACCTCGGCCTCTCAGAAGGGATTACAGAAGGGAGCCACTGCACCCAGCCAAGACCCTGTTTCTTTCTTTTTTTATTTTTAAGACCCTATTTCTTTTTTTTTTTTTTTTTTTTGAGACGGAGTTTCGCTCTTGTTACCCAGGCTGGAGTGCAATGGCGCGATCTCGGCTCACCGCAACCTCCGCCTCCTGGGTTCAGGCAATTCTCCTGCCTCAGCCTCCTGAGTAGCTGGGATTACAGGCACGCGCCACTATGCTCAGCTGACCCTATTTCTAAAAAAAAAATTCTGACCTTTCTAATTATCTACGTGACTTGGGCCAGTTGTTTAACCTTTCTGACAGATCTCCAAAAGGGGAGCAACAATACTTATTTCCTTATTTTGCGGAGGCAGGGTCTTGCTCTATAGCCTGGAGTGCAATGGTACAATCACTGCTCACTGCAGCCTCAACCTCCTGGGCTCAAGCGACCCTCCCACCTCAGCCTCCTGAGTAGCTGGGACTTATAGGTGCTTGCCACCAGGCCCTGATAGTTTTTTTTTTTTTTTTAATTTTTGGGCTGGGTGTGATGGCTAACACCTGTAATCCCAACACAGGGAGGCTGAGGCGGGTGGATCACCTGAGGTCAGGAGTTCGAGACCTGCCTGACCAACACGGCGAAGCCCTATCTCTACTAAAAATACAAAAGATAGCTGGGCTACTGGGGAGGCTGAGGCAGGAGAATCACTTGAACCCAGGAGGCAGAGGTTGCAGTGAGCTGAGATCATGCAACAACAGATCTGGTGATAGAGTGAGACTCCGTATCAAAAAAAAAAAAAAAATTTTTTTTTTTTGCACAGACAGGGTCTCAGTATGTTGCCCTGGCTGGTCTTGAACTCCTGGGTTCAAGTGATCCTCCCATCTCAGCCTCCCAAAATACTTACTTTTTAAAGGGTGGTCATAGGGTGGAGTAAGAAAATATATATCAAGGCAAGTTGCAAAAGTCTAAAATACAGAACACAAGTGAGGGCACTCAGTTTCCCACCCCCATCCCACATGAATAGATATAGGGTCTCTAATCAACACAAAGGATGGCACATCTTCTCCCTCCTTGTCAGCTGAAGCAGGAGGCCTTCCCTGCCCAGCCCATGGTCATTATCTCCAGCATCTCCAAGGCCACAGCTTTTTTTCTTTTTCCTAGTGAAAAAGAGCTGGGAAATGTGGCTTTGGCCAGCAAGGGAGAAGGGGCCTTTCTGTGTACCAGCAAAGACCCAATTGTTACTGAAACCAAACTGGGCTGCTTTTCTCAATTATCTCCACTACTCTTCTGGTACCTACTTTTCAGATGCCAACCCAGAACAAAAGCTGCTGTCGGACTGATTTATGATCCAGATCTGCTGACGCGGCCTGAAGTGTTCCTCCCCTCCAGGACTGCACCCTGGCTTAAAGTTACCTCCAAGCCTCAGGGCCTCAAGTCCCTTCACCTCTGCCTTTTGCCCCTAGCCAGGAGGTAGCATCTGTCTCCAGGTGCCCGTGGAGTGTCCTCCATGAGGACCACCTCTTCTGACCACCTGCCCAGCTCAGAAGACCAGCTGGCAGAGGGGACGCCACGCTGTCCATGAGGCCAGAGCTACAAGTTGCTTCTAGGAGTGGCTGTGGGCGGAGGCTGGCGGTTCTGAAGGTGGCTGGCGGTGGTTCTGAAGTGTGGCTCCCCCCTGCCCCTTTCATCTGAACAGTCAGGTTCATGCCACTTGTTAATCAGCTTTCCGGTGGCACCAGGAGTCATTTTCTGGGGATAGGCGCTTTGCCTGAAGTGTGAGAAGCAGGGGCAGACCTCTCTGTTGATTTCACCAGCCAGGTCTTCCAGGCTGGTGAAGTCCCTTCCAGACTTGAGGGCTGGGACCAGCTGTCCTCCGGGCCTAGAAGCGGGGAGAGTTGGGAGCCAAAAGGCAGACCCCTCTGGTCAGCCCCAAGAGAAGCCTCGGTTTCCCCAGTGCGCCTCCCCTGGCACTCGCCTCGAGGTGGCTCGCCCGCGTTCGTACCTGCAACTGCAGGGTCGGGAGCCCCTCTCCCGAGCCCAACCCGCCGGGGGTCTTCGGGGGACACTTCGGAAAACCTGGTGAGTGTGATTACCCCGCGGCCATACCCAGAGTCCCTTCCCCGCCCCATCTCCCTCCGGGCACTGTGGCGCAGCCCGCGACTCGGAGCACTGGGGCTGCTGGGCACCCGGAGGGGCGGAGGTCCGAGCCCTGGGGCGGAGAACGGGCGGGTCCAAGGGTCCCGGCGGGTCGCAGCACCCTCCTGAGCTAGCCTTCGCGTCCCGCCCCCGGCCTCCGCTCGACCCCCCCACCAGCCTGACGTCAAGGGGAAGGGGGCGGAGAACCGTGGTCGCGCTGGAGAAAGAGCAGGCGCCCGCCGAGGTGGCGCGGGGAGCCCGAGCCCAGGGGCGCGGAGCCGGGCGGGGACCGTGGGGCGGTGGCAGAGGGGCCGCGGAGGTCTGGCGGGCGCGCGCGGGCAGGGGCGGACCGCGGTCGGAGCCGAACGCCAGGGCGGCGCCCGGGGACTGGAGCTGCGCTCAAGAGGTAAGCCAGGCCGGGCTTGCGTCGGGCGGGAGACGCGGGGCCCCGGAGCCGCCGCTTTGTCCCCTTGCTCAGGCAGGGGCTGCGGAACGCGGGAGGGACAGGGGCTGGGGCGCAGGGAGCCGCGGCGGCGGAGACGGCTGTCCGCGGGGATCCTTCTTGCGCCCCCCGCGGCAACCTCGCGGGGTCTCGAGAGTGGGACGCACAGCGCCTGCAGCCTCACAGCCCCGGGGCCGAAGGGGCGCGCCAGCGAGGGGCCACGGGCAGTGAGGGTTCCTCGCGCGGTCCGGTCCGCGGTCGGGATCCTCGCCAGGCTCCTGGACTGCCCTCGGCACTCCCACCCCGATGGAAAGTTTGGGGCGGGCTTGGAGCAAGGCCGATGTTGTGGGATCGGATTTCCCTGCCGCGGCCCCCCGCCTGCCCGCCCGCCCGCCCGTTCCGCTGGGGAGGCGGGTTGTCCCGGAAAGCCAGGCCCCCGGGCCGAGCAGTCCCCGGCTGGAGCGCTCGCCCTGGAGTGCCGCGGTCCACGGCTGGCCTCTCGGGGTGGGCGAGGGTGCGGGGCGCCCCGCCTGGAGTCCGCACCCCTCCCCCAAGCCCCCCAGCTGCCCGTTTCCTCACCCTGGCGTGGAATTGCGGGTGCGGGCACCGCTGGCGGGCGGATCCTCGGAGCACGCCACGGGGTGCGGCCCGAGTCTCGGGTAAGGAGCCGAGATGGGGCCGGGGGCGTTTTGCTGGGCTGGTTGGGGGCGCAGCCCCCACCACCCGCCCTCCCGCGCCGGGGCTCTGGGCCGACAGGGGGCGTTTGCAGGCCGGGCTCGCCACGCTCCCCGCGCCGACGCTTTGTTTGCGTTCAAATCCCTGGATCTGGGGGAGGGGAGAACCTGGGGTGACCCGGGATGGGGTCTTGGCGGGGACCCTTTGTTTGGGGGTGAGGAGGTCCCCAGTTTCTGCGTCTCCGCCCCCAGCAAGGGAAGGCTGGAACGGGGGAAGCCAATCCCGCTGGCCCGCCCAGGCCAGGGTCCCTGGGGCGCAGTCCCCGAGTTGGGAAGGTTCGTCAGAGCCGCGGGAGCGCAGCGGGCGCCGACCTTGCGCGGCGCGTCGCCCGCAGCCTGGGAGGAACCCTCCCGGTACCCGCCTCTAGCTCCCCCCGCCACCTGCCCGCGTCGCCAGAGTCCCCGATTCGACCCGAGCTTGGTCCCCCTGCCGCCCCTCCGCCAAAGGGCTGGTGTCTCGGAGGAGGCAGTGCGAGGAACAGGATGAGGCCCTGGTCATTTCCACGCCCATCCCACCCACTTCCTGCCTCTCTCTTGGGCAACAAAGGGGCCTCGGGAAGCTGGGCCCCTTCGCTCCCGGCCTTGCTCCCACTCCTGCCCTGCTGATGTGGAACGGGGTTTGGGGTTCTGCCGGGCTATTGTCTGCGCTGGGGGAGGGGACAGACCGGGACCGGGACCTCCGCTTGCTGCCATCCCTACCAGGTCCCTCTGTGGGGCTCTCCCGACCGCCTACCCCACCGCATGCCCCTCGCCGCCCTAAGGAGTTTTCCTCCCAGAATTAGGTGTTGGGGGGGCCGGAGCCCCAGTGGCTGCAAGGCCTGCTGCTTGAAGTTCTTTTAAGAAACTCAAACCTCTTAGTCCTGAGGGTGTGTGTTGGGGGGGTCACCTTATTATTTATCAAATTACTTCCTGTTGCGAAGAGGGAGTGGGGGCTCTGGAGGCCAAGCAGGGCTTCCCAGAGCCTGCTTAGCCTTAAGCGGACTCAGCTCCTCCGTGCTTCCCAGGGAGACTCGTGGTCTTTTAGGGGCTGAGAGGGCAGGGGCCAAGTGTGGGGACTTAGGTCCACCCCTTAAGAGAATAGGAAGAAGGGCACCCGGGGCTCCTGGAGAGGCCTGATGAGGAGCCCCGTGGCCTCTCCTGCTGCGGGCCCCTCTAGTTTGCTTTCTCTGGCCCGGATTCTGACCATTTCTTTTCCCTCAGCAGGGTGGCTGGCCTGGAGCTCAGAGTCGGGGTGTGCGCCATGGCCCCACATTGGGCTGTCTGGCTGCTGGCAGCAGGGCTGTGGGGCCTGGGCATTGGGGCTGAGGTGTGGTGGAACCTTGTGCCTCGGAAGACAGTGTTTTCTGGGGGTGAGTGCCTGGAGGGGTGTGGAGGAAGGTGGGGACAGGCTGCTGAGAAGTTGCCCCCATAGTGTGCTGGCTTTATTCTGATGTGTGGCACAGCTTTCTAAGAAACACGAGTGACCCCGGGGGCCCAGAACGGGCAGTGCAGGTTGGGACCTGGGATTAGCCTTCTCTGGAGGAGGTCTGTCCAATTCCCCAACCCAAACTGCCGGCCCAAATGTGTGAGGGAGAGCCCTATGCCTCAACTTCCCCTGCCTCGCTTCTTGAATTGTCACTAGCGCTGGGAGCCTAAAGAGAAACCGGAACCAGGATAGACATAAACTGGAGGCTTGCTCCCCAGGACCCCCTAAGACCTCCTCCTGCCCGGTACTCATCATGCCCTCTGGTGGCCCCGGAAGGGTGTGTGTATATGCAGGAGCTCACATGGTTGCCAGGGCACAGCAAGGACCTGTTAGTACCCCATGTGCACACACCCGTGTGAAAGGTGATGTCAGGTGTTTGTATCGGCCGTGTGCTCTGGGGACCTGGGATGAGCTCACCTCCCACAGTCTCCACCCAGGTGCCTATGAAGCCCTGCCTTGCCGGCTTGTATCTGGATCCACCGTTGCCTCCAAAGACTAAGACTGGTTTGGGGGGACCCTGAAGACAGGTCAGCAGCTATATTTGGCAGCTGATGTAGGAATCACGTGTCTATGTAAATGTCGTGGTGCCCTGGATGCTGGGTGGCACCAAGATTTCCCAGGCCCAGGCCCATCTCCGGTCCCTCATCCTCTGGTTTCTCTGGACCTCCCTGGCCTGGATCATAGCCAGGCTCCCCTCCTCCCATCCCTGCCTGTCCTAGTGGCCTGCTGTGCTCATATCTCTGGCAGCCTGGATTGGGGTTCTGCTGGAGTGAAGGGTTTCCTGAGGTAGGGAGTACTTGTAGCCATCTGTGGCTCCTGCCCTGCTGGACTCTGATAGAGGCAGTGGGCAGCAGGGCAAAGAAGGAAGCAGCAGGCAAGGAAGCGACGGTGGGGTGGGGACGCCTAGCCCTGCGGCTGGAGGTGCCATTGACCCTCAGAGCAAGAGCTCTGGCCGGAAGCTGTGGCTGAGATATCCTTCCTTCCTCCCAGCAGCCTGGATTTGCCTCCTCCCAGGCTGGGAAAGGCCAGGGAGGCCTGGGTGGAGCTGTCAGGGCCAAAGCCTATTTCAAAAGTGTCTTTTATCAGGGGGTTTGGTTGGCATCTGCTTATGGCATGGGGTGCTGGCTCTAGTGTGGGGAACTGGGGTATGAGGTCCAGGAGACTGTTACATGGAGGAAGACTGAGGGGTGCCTTGAGCCCCAGGGGCCCTGCCCATCAGCAGCCATGCTTACCCCTGCAGAACTGGCCACAGTGGTGCGGCGGTTCTCCCAGACGGGCATCCAGGACTTCCTGACACTGACGCTGACGGAGCAGACTGGGCTTCTGTATGTGGGGGCCCGTGAGGCCCTGTTTGCCTTCAGCATGGAGGCCCTGGAGCTGCAAGGAGCGGTGAGAGGTGGGGCAGCGGGAGGCAGTCAGGCCTTAAAGAGGGCAGGACTTAGAAGGCCTGTGCTTGGCTGCCCCCACAAAAGTGCTGCTGGGCATCCGGGGCCTGCCCTCTGGTCGCGGTCAGCATGTGGCCTTCCTCTCCTCTCTGGCACTTACTGGATTCTGTGTAGTGGGGCGGTTGGGGGCTTCTGTTCTGTACTGAAAGAAGCACCCAGAGAATGGGGACCCGCCTCTGCACTGGGTATCCCTGTGTTGCTGCTGCAGGCTGTGCTTGTGATGTGTGCTTAGTCCATACCTGTGATGAGGCTGATGTCCTCTTTCCTGTCCTCAGATCTCCTGGGAGGCCCCTGTGGAGAAAAAGACTGAGTGTATGCAGAAAGGGAAGAACAACCAGGTGGGTGCTTGGATGCGGTGCCTGGTGCTGCCTTTGCCCCATGGTGTCTCCTCCCATTTCTGCCTTGGTGCTTTCACTAACCGGACTCCTTTCTGCCCCTAGACCGAGTGCTTCAACTTCATCCGCTTCCTGCAGCCGTACAATGCCTCCCACCTGTACGTCTGTGGCACCTACGCCTTCCAGCCCAAGTGCACCTACATTGTGAGTGCTGCCCTCTCCCTTTGGTGTCCCCAGCCCCCCCCCCCCCGCCCTTCTTTGGACTCTTGGATGTGGCCCAAAGGGCTCTGCTCTTGAGCATCTCCTCATCACCTCTCTCCCGGTTCCTAGGACATGCTCACCTTCACTTTGGAGCGTGGACAGATTGAGGATGGGAGGGGGAAGTGTCCCTATGACCCAGCTAAAGGCCACACTGGCCTCCTTGTGGGTGAGTGGCTGCCCCCCATGCAGGCTGGGCGAGTCCTTGGGGCTTGGTTCCACTTTGGGCTGTGTTGGCCGGATGTGTCCATACCTCATGTGTGGCCTGGCTGACCTCTGTCTCCCATAGATGGTGAGCTGTACTCGGCCACACTCAACAACTTCCTGGGCACGGAGCCCATTATCCTGCGTAACATGGGGCCCCACCACCCTATGAAGACAGAGTACCTGGCCTTTTGGCTCAACGGTGAGCCCCCGGGCACCTGAGGGAGCTGTGGGTGGGAGGCTTCCTGGGGCCCAGCACCTCCCTGCTGACCTTCTCCCCTTCCCACAGAACCTCACTTTGTAGGCTCTGCCTACATCCCTGAGAGTGTGGGCAGCTTCACAGGGGACGACGACAAGGTCTACTTCTTCTTCAGGGAGAGGGCAGTGGAGTATGACTGCTATGCTGAGCAGGTGGTGGCTCGTGTGGCCCGCGTCTGCAAGGTATCAAGTCTCATAGCGGTGGGCCCTGGGAGCCCTGCTGGCCTGGCCGGGCTGACTGGCAGTGTCCCCTTGCTGTCTGCCAGGGCGATATGGGGGGCGCGCGGACCCTGCAGAAGAAGTGGACCACCTTCCTGAAGGCACGGCTGGCATGCTCTGCCCCAGACTGGCAGCTCTACTTCAACCAGCTGCAGGCAATGCACACCCTGCAGGATACCTCTTGGCATAACACCACCTTCTTTGGGGTTTTTAAGGCACAATGGTGAGTTGGCCAGGCTCCTGCAGAGTGGGAAGGACCTGGGATTCAGGTCAGAGATGGTACATGGGTGAGAGCCTGGACCAGGCCTCAGGGGCAGTCCAGTAAGCCAGGTGTCCAGAAGCCAAGGGGAATGCTGGCACCTGCCCCTGTCAGAGCTGCCTGCGAAGGGGCAGAGCCCCACGCCAGTTTGCACTTTTGAGCTGCCAGTGCATTCTGGTGCCCATGGCTGGTTTTTGCCAGGATCTGCCTTCCTGCTGCTTGCCCTGAGCTGGGGTGGGAAGGGTAAGGTGGGTACCTGACCCTGGGGCTCCCTCTTGCTGCAACAGGGGTGACATGTACCTGTCGGCCGTCTGTGAGTATCAGTTGGAAGAGATCCAGCGGGTGTTTGAGGGCCCCTACAAGGAGTACCATGAGGAAGCCCAGAAGTGGGACCGCTATACCGACCCTGTGCCCAGCCCTCGGCCTGGCTCGGTGAGTGCTGGGGTAGGGATGCATCTCCCCACCCAGCTGTGATGCCATCCCTTCCTGCTGATGGCTTGACCCCCACATCCTACCCCCAGTGCATCAATAACTGGCACCGGCACCACGGCTACACAAGCTCCCTGGAGCTGCCCGACAACATCCTCAACTTCGTGAAGAAGCACCCGCTGTTGGAGGAGCAGGTGAGGCCTCGGTGGAGCCGCCCCCTGCTCGTGAAGAAGGGCACCAACTTTACCCATTTGGTGGCTGACCGGGTTACAGGGCTTGATGGAGCTACCTATACAGTGCTGTTCATTGGTACAGGTGGGTGCATGGGTATGCAGGCATGGCTACTTGAGGCTGGGTGGAAGCCCGTGTGCCCAGGGCAGGGAGATCTGGAGCTGCCCCAGAGCCTTATGTCCTCTCATTCATACCTTCCCTTCCCCTCTGCACCCCCCAGGAGACGGCTGGCTGCTCAAGGCCGTGAGCCTGGGGCCCTGGGTTCACCTGATTGAGGAGCTGCAGCTGTTTGACCAGGAGCCAATGAGAAGCCTGGTGCTGTCTCAGAGCAAGGTAGTAAGTTGGGCCCCATCTGCCACTGCCTCCAGCACTGTCCCATCTCACTCTGTCTGCCTGCCTCTCCCAGTTGGGCCTATGTGCTTGACCAGTGCAGAGGTAGGGACACAGATATGCATGCATGCACATCTTGCCCAACTTGGGGTGGGTTCCTGGAAACGAGAATGAAAACAGAACAGAGTCTGCGCTGCACAGGGCCATCATATATAGCCAGGTTGCAGGGCCAGGGGCCGCACTCCCAGCATCAAGCCTTGGCAACTGTTCCCATGTTTCCTTCAGACCCTCCATCTAAGTTTTGCTGTGGTTCTGGCTCTGGCCTCTTGCCTGACCATGCCCCTGTGACCAGACCTCCCAGGCTGTGAGATGTTTATGATGCCCTCACCATGATGGTTTCCCTCTAGTCCCCAGTTGCTCTCTGGTCCCAACCCTCCATTTCTGTGACCATTTCCCTCAAGTGCTTGCATTATACTCTTGTGCAACAATAAATACTCTTTTTAAAAGTTTTTTTTTTTTTTTTTTTTTTTTGAGACAGAGTCTCACTCTGTCACCCAGGCTGGAGTGCGGTGGTGTAATCTCCGCTCATGCAACCTCCACTTCCCAGGTTGAAGTTATTCTCCCACTTCAGCCTCCCAAGTAACTGGGACTAGAGGCATGTGCCACCATACCCAGCTAATTTTTGTATTTTTAGTACAGACAAGATTTCACCATATTGGCCAGGCTGGTCTTGAACTCCTGACCTCAAGTGATCCACCCAGCTCAGCCTCCCAAAGTGCTGGGATTACAGGCATGAGCCGCTGTGCCCCATTGCCTTGTGCAATACTCTTGTTTCATGTTTGCTACACCTCCTGAACTTTGATTTGTTTGCTTTTTACCAACAATTGTGAATCAAAATCATCCCCCAGAACATGGATAATGGCAGAAAGTGTGTGGTTGAATAAACACACAGATCGGCATCCACCGTTGAAACGGGAAAACATCTTATGTTATGCTGCTGCTGTTGTGAGGGCTGATGGGCCTTGAGAGAAATGTATTTCCTGCACTAAGTGTGTGTAAGTGAGTGTGATTATACTTTTTGGCCTTGCAGCCCCATCATCCTTTTCTAATCAGGTCACACTTGTAAGGGGCTTAGGATTGCGTCTGGCCTGTGTAAGCCCTCTGAGTTCTGTGGTTCTTAGATTTCCCTCTTCAGCACTATAGCTCTGCCTTGTTCCTCCTTCTGCCACCCCATCCTGTGCCCCCTGTAGAACTCCGAGCTGCCCCCATGCTGCATTCTGGTCCGGCCGCCCCTCCTGCGGTGTGGCCCTGGCTGACCCCCACTCCTGCTCCCCGCTTTTCTCGCAGAAGCTGCTCTTTGCCGGCTCCCGCTCTCAGCTGGTGCAGCTGCCCCTGGCCAACTGCATGAAGTACCGGTCCTGTGCAGACTGTGTCCTCGCCCGAGACCCCTATTGCGCCTGGAGCGTCAACACCAGCCGCTGTGTGGCCGTGGGTGGCCACTCTGGGTGAGTCGGGCTCTGCATAGGCCAGGACCAGGAGGGAGTCAGGGTAGTGGGAGCCAGGCTGCTGATGTACCTTACATTCCCTACCAGATCCCTGCTGATCCAGCATGTGATGATCTCGGACACCTCAGGCGTCTGTAACCTCCGTGGCAGTAAGAAGGGTGAGCTTTTATATTGCCCTTGCATCGAGCTGTGCCCTGGACTAGAGCCAGAGTTTCTGTTCTCCTCTTCCCCAGCCCTGGTTTCCTGCCCTAACCCTCACTCTCTTTTCTCTGCCACTACAGTCAGGCCCACTCCCAAAAACATCACGGTGGTGGCAGGCACAGACCTGGTGCTGCCCTGCCACCTCTCCTCCAACTTGGCCCGTGCCCACTGGACCTTTGGGGGCCGGGACCTGCCTGCGGAACATCCCGGCTCCTTCCTCTACGATGCCCGGCTCCAGGCCCTGGTTGTGATGGCTGCCCAGCCCCGCCACGCTGGGGCCTACCACTGCTTTTCAGAGGAGCAAGGGGAGCGGCTGGCTGCTGAAGGCTACCTTGTGGCTGTCGTGGCAGGTCCATCAGTGACCTTGGAGGCCCGGGCCCCCCTGGAAAATCTGGGGCTGGTGTGGCTGGCAGTGGTGGCCCTGGGAGCCGTGTGCCTGGTGCTGCTGCTGCTGGTGCTGTCACTGCGCCGGCGGCTGCGGGAAGAGCTGGAGAAAGGGGCCAAGGCTGCTGAGAGGACCCTGGTGTACCCCCTGGAGCTGCCCAAGGAGCCCACCAGTCCTCCCTTCCGGCCCTGTCCTGAACCAGATGAGAAACTTTGGGATCCTGTTGGTTACTACTATTCAGATGGCTCCCTTAAGATAGTGCCTGGGCATGCCCGGTGCCAGCCTGGTGGGGGGCCCCCTTCACCACCTCCAGGCATCCCAGGCCAGCCTCTGCCTTCTCCAACTCGGCTTCACCTGGGGGGTGGGCGGAACTCTAATGCCAATGGTTATGTACGCTTACAACTAGGAGGGGAGGACCGGGGAGGGCTCGGGCACCCCCTGCCTGAGCTTGCAGATGAACTGAGACGCAAACTGCAGCAACGCCAGACACTGCCCGACTCCAACCCCGAGGAGTCATCAGTATGAGGGGAACCCCTACCGCGTCAGCGGCAAGCATGGGAGGTGCAGCTCCTACTTTTGCACAGGCACCAGCTACCTCAGGGACATGGCACGGGCGCCTGCTCTGTCTGGGACAGACACTGCCCGGCACCCACCCGGCCATGAGGACCTGCTCTGCTCAGCACGGGCACTGCCACTTGGTGTGGCTCACCAGGGCACCAGCCTCGCAGAAGGCATCTTCCTCCTCTCTGTGAATCACGGACACGCGGGACCCCAGCCGCCAAAACTTTTTAAGGCAGAAGTTTCAAGATGTGGCTGTGTTTGTCTGTATTTGCCCGTGTGTTTGTGTGTGTGTATGTGTGTATGCACGCGTGTGCGTGCTGCGACATAGCCTTCCTGTTTCTGTCAAGTCTTCCCTTGGCCTGGGTCCTCCTGGTGAGTCATTGGAGCTATGAAGGGGAAGGGGTCGGATCACTTTGCCTCTCCTAACCCCCACTGTCCCGAGTGTCGGGCAGCAGTGTACATATGGGGGTGGGGTGGGCAGGGTGCTGTGCCCCTTCACGGGGAGTTCAGGGCTCGGGGTGGGCCTAGTCCTGCTCCTAGGGCTGTGAATGTTTTCAGGGTGGGGGGAGGGGGAGGAAGCCTCCTGTGTGTTTGGGGGAAAGGGTGGGTTCAGTGGTATTTTATACTTGCCCTCTTCCTGTACAGGGCTGAGAAAGGCTGTGTGAGGGGAGAGAAGAAAGAGGGTGGGCCTGCTGTGGACATTGGCATACCCTCTTCCAGTCCTAGGAGGAGGGCCTCCTAATGGTGTAACTTATTGTGTCCCCGCGTATTTATTTGTTGTAAATATTTGAGTATTTTTATATTGACAAATAAAAATGCAGAAAATGAAACGATTACTGTGATGGGGCTAAGACATTTGGGCTAAAACCTTTCTGGGTGCCAAGAGGGAAGGCTCTTTGGGTAAAGGGAAGCTGGACTGGGCCTCCCCCACAGTCCAGGGCAGCCACCTCTTTTGCAGTCCCTGTCTGCCTGTGGGAGGGGACAGCCCAGCTCCAGTGTTTTCCCACAGTGGTGGCTGTGGGGCTGGGAACCAGACATGGCCACAGCCCCTTGGGAGCCAGCCTTGGCTTCTGGCCAGAGGGAGAAGTCAGGGCACTGGGAGTCCAGGGGAGAGGTGGAGTGGGAGCGGGGGCGCCTTCCCAGACTCAGGACGGTTAGTGGGAGTGAGGGGGCCAAAGGAGGGGAAGGTTGTGGAGATGAGAGAGTTGCTTGTGTAAGGATTTTCAACCCACTTAGGAGAGGTGAAATGACGTCTAGACTTCTACCACCAGCAATGCTAGGGTCTTCAGGGCCCCAGCTAGGTGGGGAAGGAACTTAAACCCACACCCAATGTGCACCAGACCACTGTCCTGGAGAGGAGTGGCACAGAACCCCTCCCTGTCATTTACGCACCCTTTCTAAGCCTATCAAGCGGTGGAAGTGAGGTCTCCCCTGTACACTTAACTGTGGCTTCAGCAGGTGGCTGCCTAGGTTTTAACCGGGAATTGAGAAGGCTGGGGTCGGCTGAGGAGCACGTTGCGGGGGTGCACCGTCCGCAGATGGCCGCCCAGATGATGTTTTGATCCGGAAGACGGATTCAGCAAACTCGCCACCCACTGTGGGGCCGTGGGGTTCTGCACAAACCAAGGCCCTGTCCGTACCCTGGAGGTGGAGCCAGAGGCAGGACAAGTTGTGGCCACCTGCTCCTTGCTGGACTTTTAAGAAAGCGGAGTACAGGGTGTCCCGAGGCCTTTCCAGCCGTCACTTTGCCGCTGCCTCAGGGCGGTCGGCCTTGGCCAGAGGTGGTCCCGGAAGAGGGGGTAAAGACCGTAGAGCGCGGCTGGGAGCCGTGGCTCACGCCTGTAATCCCAGCACTTTGGGAGGCCGAGGCGGGCGGATCACGAGGTTAGAAGATCGAGACCACTCTGGCTAACACGGTAAAAACCCCGTCTCTACTAAAATACAAAAAATTAGCTGGGCATGGTAGCACGCGCCCGTAAGTCCCAGCTACTTGGGAAGCTGAGGCAGGAAAATCGCTTCAGCCCGGGAGGTGGAGGTTGCAGTGAGCCGAGATCGCGCCACAGCATTCCAGCCTGGGCGACAGAGCCAGACTCCGTCTCAAAACGAAACAAAAGACCGTGGAGCGAGCCGGCTCCCTAGTCCTGGGAGCCCGGCGGGACTAGAGGCGGTAACAAGAGGAGCCTGCGAAGCCGCTGGAGGCCTGGGTCCTAGCGAAGGAAAACGGAAAACTCCCCACCGGACCCAGAGGCCTCATCCCCCCGACACCCCGCAAGGCCCTGCGGCCCCGCGCGCCCTCCAGCGGCGCGCGGTTCTCGGAACGCAGCGCTTCTGCCTTCAGCTTAGCCTCGGACGCCCTCGCGCGACTGCCTCGGGGTACAGCCCGGCGCAACAAGTCCCGCCCTGCCACTGCGACGGGGTCGCGAGCTAAGGCCTAGGCGTTTGATTGGTCAGCTTTGGCAAGGAGGCGGGACTAGGATGATAACGGAGGATGCCGAACGGCCAGATAAAGGACGCGGGGCGGGCCTGAGATCCCAGGTCGTTTGGCTGGGGCGAGAGCCGGGATGGCGACGCCGCGGCCCTGCGCGGACGCGCCGTGCTGCCCGCATCCCAGCGCGGTGCTCGGTGTACAGCAGACGCTGGAGGAGATGGACTTCGAGAGGGGTGAGGCGGCCGCGCGGCCCTGCTGGCTCTTCCCAGGCCCCGGCCTAAGGAGGAGGCGCCAGGTTAAGGAGGGGCGGGTGAACTGGGCCCTGAGAGCTTGGGGCCTGGTGAGAGACGGCGGGCCGGATTCGAGGCTCCCGCATCCTGAGAGCATACCAGGTGTCTCCCGCACGAGCTCTGTCCCGCGGGCGGCGGCGAAGCGGACGCACTGGTTTCCGTAACCTTTCCGAGTGACGGGGGACAGCCCTGCTTGGGAGACACAAGTCTGCTCAGGTATTGGAGAGAGGGACCGGGGAGCAGAATCTGCACCTGGGGCATTGCGCCCATCCTGAGGGGCATGGAGCTGCAGGCCTGGGGGCTGCTTGGTGAAGGAGGACACTGGCCCTTGCTTAACCCCGGATGCCAGGCAGCCTGCGTGCTTTAGAGGCAGCAAGAGCTTATCACGGGCAGCCTTCAAGTCAGGGCACGGTATCTCATCTGTGGGACCCAGAGATAGTAATAGGTAACACGTTTGCCCCGGATTACACAGAGATTATGTTGCCAATAGGAACAGAGGAAGGTGGGAAACCAAGGTGCTTCTTCTGGGTGTTGGGAACCACTGTGCTACTGTGCTGTGTCATCTGTCCGTGCAGACTCAGCCAGTGCAGTAACAACAGTACTGCCCTTGATTGCCACTGCTGTGTAAGCATTCGCATGGAACTCTTCCTTTACCATGGTTCTGGCACCTGCCTACTTCCCTCCACCTCTCCTACCACTGCCTTCTGCACTGCTGAAGTGGTTGCCTCAGAAGGTCTTTCAGCTTCCACGCTTGCTCTCCTACAGGGTTTTCTACAAACACAGCAGCCAGAGCGGCTTTTTGAAAATGAGAAATCGCTGTGGCCAGGCACAGTGGCTCACGCCTGTAATCCCAGCCCTTTGGGAGGCTGAGGCCGGCAGATCACCTGAGGTTAGGGGTTCGAGACCAACCTGACCAACATGGAGAAACTCCATCTCTACTAAATGATTTTTCCCCGGCCCCCTCCCCTACCATCTCTACTAAAAATACAAAAAATTAGCCGGGCGTGGTGGCACATGCCTGTAATCCCAGCTACTTGGGAGGCTGAGGCAAGAGAATCGCTTCAACCCAGGAAATGGAGGTTGCAGTGAGCTGAGATTGTGCCATTGCACTCCAGCCTGGGCAACAAGAGCGAAACTCCGTCTCAAAAAAAAAGAAAGAAAAGAAAAAGCAAATGAGAGGTCGGATCATTCCCTGTTATGGCTTACAAAGCTCTGTGAACCCACTGCTGCTGGCTCTACTTCTCTCCCTCATTTCATTTCTCATGCTTTTCTTCTCCCAATCACTATGCTGCAGCCACACTGGTCTTGTTTTGGTGTCTCAAATATGCAAGACCTTTTCCTGAATTAAGGCCATTGGAGTTGCTGATGGACTTCCTACAACTGTTTTTTTTTTTTTTTTTTTTTTTTTTTTTTTTTTTTTTGAGACGGAGTTTCGCTCTTGTTACCCAGGATGGAGCGCAATGGCGCAATCTCGGCTCACCGCAACCTCCGCCTCCCGGGTTCAGGCAATTCTCCTGCCTCAGCCTCCTGAGTCGCTGGGATTATAGGCACACGCCACCATGCCCAGCTAATTTTTTGTATTTTTAGTAGAGACGGGGTTTCACCATGTTGGCCAGGATGGTCTCGATCTCTTGACCTCGTGATCCACCCGCCTCGGCCTCCCACAGTGCTGGGATTACAGGCTTGAGCCACCGCGCCCGGCCCCTACAACTGTTAAACTAGCTGATGTTATTTTTCAGATCCCAGCTCCAATATTACTTCTTCAGAGGCCCTCCCTAAACACCCTGGCTCTCAACTGGGGGCAGTTCTGCCTTTTAAGGGACTTTGGCAGTGTCTGGAGACATTTTGGGTTGTCACAATCTGGAGGCTGCTACACAGGCGTGTAGTAGGTAGAGACCAGATGCATTATACCTGGTACAATGCACAGGACAGCCCCCTCTGGTAATCATCCAGCCTAGAAGGTCAATTGTGCTGTTGTTGAGAAGTAAACATTGCCTTATCCAAAGTTAGGTGTTGGTTACTCTGATGTGTCTATCATCTTGCTTTTTTTTTTTTTTTTTTTTTTTGACAGAGTATCCCTCATTGCCCAGGCTGGAGTGCAGTGGCACAATCTTGGCTCACGGCAACCTCCACCTCCAGGCCTTTGCCTGGCCCTTATAGAGTTCACTTGCCTGGGTCAGCTTTTATGAAAGATCCAGATTATAATAGATTCTATTTTTTTTTTTTTGAGACGGAGTTTCACTCTTGTTACCCAGGCTGGAGTGCAATGGCACGATCTCGGCTCACCGCAACCTCCGCCTCCTGGGTTCAGGCAATTCTCCTGCCTCAGCCTCCTGAGTAGCTGGGATTATAGGCACGTGCCACCATGCCCAGCTAATTTTTTGTATTTTTAGTAGAGACGGGGTTTCACCATGTTGACCAGGATGGTCTCGATCTCTTGACCTCGTGATCCACCCGCCTTGGCCTCCCACAGTGCTGGGATCACAAGCTTGAGCCACCGCGCCCGGCCCCTATAATAGATTCTTAGCTTGGAGTTTTTGTTCTATAAAGGTACAGATATCCTTCCCATACCTCCAATTTGCATAGGTCAGGGTAGCTGGTTTTTTGGTTTTTTTTCTGCCTTTGCTATCTTCTCACACCTATTTGAATAGTACCTTTTCTCATGACCTTTAGGTTTCTGTTCTAAGGTTGCCTTATCAGAGGGGCCATCCCTGACCATTGCTCATTCCCTCCTATGGTTTTTCTTCAGAGCATTTAGCACCACCAGACTTACTATTATTATTATTATTTTTTGAGATGGAGCCTTGCTCTGTTGCCCAGACTGGAGTGCAGTGGTGCAATCTCCACTTACTGCAACCTCCACCTCCTGGGTTCAAGCAATTCTATTTAAGCCTCCCAAGTAGCTGGGACTACAGGTACATGCTAGTGTGCCTGGCTAATTTTTGTTTTTTCGATAGAGATGAGGTTTTGCCATGTTGGGCAGGCTGGTCTCAAATTACTGACCTCAGGTGATCCACCCACCTCGGTGTTCCAAAGTGCTGGGATTACAGGCGTGAGCCATAGCGCCCAGCCCACCAGACTTATTTTATAAAATTTATAGGCTATATATATG